AATTAAATTAATCATCTTAATTCCTGTATGAATGAAGATATAAATGTTATGTATAACGTGCCACTGGAATATTCTATTCTTTATTCTTTTCTTTCTTTAATTTTTCTTTTAGTAAAGTTTAAAGTGCTTGATTCCATGCGTGGACAATATTAATATAATAAGAATATTTACATGTGCGTAATTAAGTCCCTCCCCCCCCCCCCCCTTACAGGATAATCAAGATTTGGGAGAAATTAACATTCTGTGCTTGTATGTTAATTTCGTGTATTCATAGATTAAAATATGCACTGTCACAACATTTGTGATCATTTTACAATAAAAAAAATCTGTGAGATTTTGTTTGAGACTGGTATACATCAATCTCAAGATTTTCTGAGAAATCTCAGAATTTTTTCTCAGCTGAGTCGGAAAAAACGTTGGTGGCACGCATGTTTGAGAAAAATCTTAGACGTGAGAAAAAATCTCAGATTTGAGAAAAAACTCAAAAAGCTAGTCTAAGTTTGAGAAAAAATTTGTTTGGTGGCACAGTTTTGCGAGAAAAACTCAAATTTTCTGAGAAATCTCAGCTGTGAGAAAATCTCAGCGTTGGTGGCCCCGAAGCCTGGTCTTCAAACAAACTGTTGGAATTTCGATGGGCAAAAATTGTGCTCCTTTATTAGTCGACCTATTTTTATATTCCCATGAAGCAGAATTTATTCAAAAACTTTTACATGAAAAGAAGAAGAAAACATTTGCTGTGGCCTTCAACTCGACATTTAGATATATCGACGACGTATTATCTATAAACAATAGTTACAATGTATTGTCTTTCATATGTCGACTCGATATAGCCTAGTGAACTCGAGAAAAAGACACCACAGAGTCTACCACATCTGTTTCATATTCATATTCGGACGTTTTACTGATTATAGACGATAAAGGCAAACTAACAACTGAACTGTATGACAAACGAGATGACTTCAGCTTTTCCATAGTCAAATTTTCTATATTTATGTAGTAATATCCCACTACATTGTGTATCACCTGCGTATGTTGTTTACGTCTCCCAATTTCGCGGGTATGTTAAGGAAGCCTACAAATCATTTCTTGGGAAATTTAGAATTTTTAAATAGAATTAAGATTGATTATTTATCAAAGTCGCATATAAAACGTAAACTATTATTAACTATTGTATAAAGTCCAAGAAGTGCACCGCCACGACGTCATCACGTGACTGCTATTAATAGCAAAATATTTCTAATTAAAAAGTTAATAGAACAACACTACCCCGGGGTTTAATAATTTCTTTGAGTAAATAATATAGTTCAAAAACATCTCTTATGTCTAAAACGTGCTGCTAGAATCCCACTGTCCGGTCGGGAAAATAATAATTCCACATATTCGCACGAAACCTTACCCGATGATTTGCATTATATACATAAAACCCGAGATATTTCTTCAAACCAGGTTTACCTCACGATTCTAGCAGCACTTTCCAAGTATTATAGAACGCAAGCTTTCGATCTGTACAAATCTTATGTTTTGAAGTTTACAGTTTAGTGTTGTTCTTTTGCATTATTATTGTCACGAATGACAGAGGAAAGGCCGACAGGGATACGTTAATATATAGTTGACTGTCTTCAATAGAAGACATAATCGATGAAAATACATTTTAAACAAACTTTAACTTCACATAAATCACACACAATATTCACGGTGTTTGCTTCTAAACCCCCTTTTACGTATCTTTTACATGCCGTCTTAGCAAAATTCTCGTTACACAACATAATCAATTCTCAAGTTACTTGTTGAATACTTATTACGTCATCGGTCCAAGATTATAATTCAAATGACAGATCGAGCATAAAAAATAAAAACATTTTATTTTTGTTAATATTTGCAAGTTTCTTTTCATTTTCAGGTGTTAAATTATATTTCAAAATAACAATATTAAGAAAACTTGTGTTCTAAAATTGACGTCATCTCGCCTATTATGACGTCATATTGTATCACTTATTTAGTCAAGACAGATTATCTTAGTGCTTCCTTAACACACCTGCGTTATTCGATATTCACAAGCATGCTCCGAGTACGATCAATTTTTAAACCGGGACAGGCTACTGACAGAAAAATTGATGTTACAGGGATTTCAACAACCTCGTTTAAAGTCAGCTTTTCGTAAATTTCTTGGTCCTAATAATGACCTTGGTAGCATATATAGCCTGTCATTGGGCCATATGTTGGCTGACGTGTTTCATACCAATTGTTAGGCCTTTGTGTTATACTGAATTTGACTACGGAATGTTCTGTTTGCCGTATCTACATTTATACATAGGGATCCTGGCGGGTGTGACCGGTCAACAGGGGATGCTTACTCCTCCTAGGCACTTGATCCCACCTCTGGAATTTCCAGGGGTCCGTGTTTATGCCCTGCTCATAAATTTGTGTTCATTATAGATTTTTATGAGTTCGACAATTGTTCGTCATCTTCACCTTGTCACTTTAGCAGTGTCACACTAAATCTTCTTTATATACAAGTATTGCTTAGTTGCTAGGGACCAGTTTGTTACGCACCTTGTCACTTTAGCAGGGTCACACTAAATCTTCTTGATATACAAGTATTGCTTATAATTAGTTGTTAGGGACCAGTTTGTTACGCACCTTGTCACTTTAGCAGGGTCACACTAAATCTTCTTGATATACAAGTATTGTTTAGTTGTTAGGGACAAGTTTGTTACGCACCTTGTCACTTTAGCAGGGTCACACTAAATCTTCTTTATATACAAGTATTGCTTAGTTGTTAGGGACCAGTTTGTTACGCACCTTGTCACTTTAGCAGGGTCACACTAAATCTTCTTGATATACAAGTATTGTTTAGTTGTTAGGGACCAGTTTGTTACGCACCTTGTCACTTTAGCAGGGTCACACTAAATCTTCTTGATATACAAGTATTGTTTAGTTGTTAGGGACCAGTTTGTTACGCACCTTGTCACTTTAGCAGGGTCACACTAAATCTTCTTGATATACAAGTATTGTTTAGTTGTAAGGGACCAGTTTGTTAGGCACCTGGTCACTTTAGCAGGGTCAAATTAGATCTTCTTGATATACAAGTATTGCTTAGTTGTTAGGGACCAGTTTGTTAGGCACCTTGTCACTTTAGCAGGGTCACACTAAATCTTCTTTATATACAAGTATTGTTTACTTGATAGGGACCAGTTTGTTAGGCACCTTGTCACTTTAGCAGGGTCACACTAAATTTTCTTGATATACAAGTATTGCTTAGTTGTTAGGGACCAGTTTGTTACGCACCTTGTCACTTTAGCAGGGTCACACTAAATCTTCTTGATATACAAGTATTGCTTATAATTAGTTGTTAGGGACCAGTTTGTTACGCACCTTGTCACTTTAGCAGGGTCACACTAAATCTTCTTGATATACAAGTATTGTTTAGTTGTTAGGGACCAGTTTGTTACGCACCTTGTCACTTTAGCAGGGTCACACTAAATCTTCTTGATATACAAGTATTGCTTAGTTGTTAGGGACCAGTTTGTTAGGCACCTTGTCACTTTAGCAGGGTCACACTAAATCTTCTTGATATACAAGTATTGCTTATAATTAGTTGTTAGGGACCAATTTGTTACGCACCTTGTCACTTTACCAGGGTCACACTAAATCTTCTTGATATACAAGTATTGTTTAGTTGTTAGGGACCAGTTTGTTACGCACCTTGTCACTTTAGCAGGGTCACACTAAATCTTCTTGATATACAAGTATTGCTTATAATTAGTTGTTAGGGACCAGTTTGTTACGCACCTTGTCACTTTAGCAGGGTCACACTAAATCTTCTTGATATACAAGTATTGTATAGTTGTTAGGGACCAGTTTGTTAGGCACCTTGTCACTTTAGCAGGGTCACACTAAATCTTCTTGATATACAAGTATTGCTTATAATTAGTTGTTAGGGACCAGTTTGTTACGCACCTTGTCACTTTAGCAGGGTCACACTAAATCTTCTTGATATACAAGTATTGTTTAGTTGTTAGGGACAAGTTTGTTACGCACCTTGTCACTTTAGCAGGGTCACACTAAATCTTCTTTATATACAAGTATTGCTTAGTTGTTAGGGACCAGTTTGTTACGCACCTTGTCACTTTAGCAGGGTCACACTAAATCTTCTTGATATACAAGTATTGTTTAGTTGTTAGGGACCAGTTTGTTACGCACCTTGTCACTTTAGCAGGGTCACACTAAATCTTCTTGATATACAAGTATTGTTTAGTTGTTAGGGACCAGTTTGTTACGCACCTTGTCACTTTAGCAGGGTCACACTAAATCTTCTTGATATACAAGTATTGTTTAGTTGTAAGGGACCAGTTTGTTAGGCACCTGGTCACTTTAGCAGGGTCAAATTAGATCTTCTTGATATACAAGTATTGCTTAGTTGTTAGGGACCAGTTTGTTAGGCACCTTGTCACTTTAGCAGGGTCACACTAAATCTTCTTTATATACAAGTATTGTTTACTTGATAGGGACCAGTTTGTTAGGCACCTTGTCACTTTAGCAGGGTCACACTAAATTTTCTTGATATACAAGTATTGCTTAGTTGTTAGGGACCAGTTTGTTACGCACCTTGTCACTTTAGCAGGGTCACACTAAATCTTCTTGATCTACAAGTATTGCTTAGTTGTTAGGGACCAGTTTGTTACGCACCTTGGGGCTATGGTAGGGTAAAATCAGGGATGATATTTACATAAAGCACGTGTACAGAAAAAAAATCTTCTCTTAATCAACAAGGACATGTTAGTCACATTTATACTGATACATCTCTTTGTCATGTGGATTCAATATTGTTTAAACAGAATCCCTTTGGTCTTGAGTGAAGGCATACTATAAATCATATTCTTCGGGAGAAGAACATCTGAGTCTTGTTTACTCAAGTGAGCGTTATGTAGACCATGGGCTTCTTGTTTTATATATAACTTTTGTAGTATTACTTCAGTATGTTCAATCTCATAGGCTGTGGAATTATTTATTTGCGGAAATGCTTCCAATCTTAAAAAGAGTTTTATTTCTTCGGCCGCGAACTTACTGGTCTAAAAGATTGCAAAATATCATAGTTATCAGTTGGCCAACGACAAAATGTTTGGTAATCTGGATGAACCCTCCGATCATATTCACATGGGTCACTGCAGCATTCCCCTCCTTTATTTACTCCATCGCCTACAGAAAAGAAAATACATGTAGTCATATAAAAAATCTGAATTTATCCTTCATTAAATTGAAATATTAAAATAAAAATCATTGGGTTGTTGAAACATACCTAACGAAAATTGACTTAGTTGACTATTTTTTTTAATTTAATTACAGTACTATAGTAAATACTTTAATGTTTTGTTTTACAATGAAACATTACTCTAGAATAATTTTTAAACGTACATATTTGTATATTTGTTAATTTTTCTTACAATAATATTTATTTGTAAAATAAAATGTGGATTTTCATTTTATATATTTTCTTTAATTTCATAGGCATGTACAAATTGCACGAAATGAAATATAACAATTTGAAATTCAAAGTAAAAAAAATATTACGATTAACTATAATTGTTAACCCACCATTTACGTTTCATTACATAAACTTTTAAATTATAGTAAACTATATTTTATTTACTACAATGGTATTTTTGTTATGAATTCAATATATATATATATATATATATATATATATATATATATATATATATATATATATATATATATATATATATATATATATATATATATATTAAAATTTCTTTGTCCTAGATAAAACAACAAATAGTAAAAATACTTTATTTCTACATAAATCCACTGGTTCATCGATAGGCGTGGCTAAAAAAAATCACGTGCGGGGCGGGTTAAATAGAAACAGAAACGGGGCTTGTAGCACGTGAATTTGCGGAATCAAGAGCCTTCGGCGTTTATGCAAATTATCACGCAAGTCAATCAATCGATCACATCATGAAACCAAAGAATTAGACAGTTATTCCTTATATATATATATATATATATATATATATATATATATATATATATATATATATATATATATATATATATATATATATATATATATATATATATATATATATATATATATACTAGTAGTACAGACGGATTTAGAGCAATGTAATACATTAAATTGATTAAATTCTAAGGAATATATATATATATATATATATATATATATATATATATATATATATATATATATATATATATATATATATATATATATATATATATACAGTAGAAATCCATCGTAGGCGAGAATATCTGTATCGAGTAACGCAGAGTGAATAATTCTTGTCCTTGAAGAAAAGGTGCTATACTGAGTATAGTTTCGCTTGACTTATATCAGGAATGAACAGGCATAAAAGATATATATTGAAAGAAAATACCCAAGACCCTTTTAAAAAATAAAATAGTCTATGAAAAGACAAGAATTTAAAAGTGAATAAAAGTGTGGCACCAGGTGAATTCGAACCACGACTCAAAAAAATACCCAGCTGTTTTACCGATCAAGTTATTCAGGCTCTGTAAATGAAATGTATAAATGCGAACCAGGTTTTCTTAAAACAGGATTCCTTATTTTTTGTAGGTTTTTTGATGAATTTAGACCTTAGGGCTGGGATGCCCTTAAAAATTTTTTCTTAAATTATTCTTTTTATCACAACCTTTCAAAATATCATAATTTTATTTAGGGGCAGGCCTGCCCTGAAGGACTTCTAGGGCAAAATTCATGAAAAACTTTGTGCTTCAATGGACAAAATGCTGTTTTGGCCAACTTTGGAGGTTAATTTTTAAGATGTAAATAATAGATTTAAGGTTCAAAATACAAATTTGAAAAAAAATAGATATATATAAGTTAGTTAACAACTAATGAACATTGATTTTTAAAAATGACTTTTTCCGGGAAATTGTTCTCTCCAATAGGTCAATTCTTTTCAAATAGTGAATTCATCCTTGATACCCAGCAGGAATCCTTTAAATGAGACCTCTCCCATGCACCCTAAAAACACTGTTGATGTTAAAATTTTATTTTTCATAATACAGTTTTTTAAATTTCATTCTTACACCTTCGTATTCTCTACATTTTTTGTCAAATAAAACTTACTATTTTCCTTCCCTTCACGAATAGTGTATTTTAAAAAAAATCCCTGACCTGTTATAAGATAGCGTTAATGAGCCATCCTTACAGAGACTAATATTAATACTGCCAAAGTTTTTCCAAATATGTCGTTAAAAATCCATGTTTACATCGTCTTAGTTATGACGTCTTAACTATTCAACTATGATGTCACAGCCTATGGCACTGACAAGAAAAAACAGATGCAAAGGGAAAGTCTAAGAAAATGTAATAAACAGAAAATTCAATGTTTTATAGATGAATATGGAATTTATTTCACTCGTGAGACAGGATTTTTTGATATTTTCACTCGTGCTTCGCATTCGTGAAAATATCAAAACGTCCTGTCCCACTCGTGAAATAAATTCCATATTCATCTATAAACATTGAATATCCTCTATCTCTCTTTTAAAAAAAAATTGCAAACGTACATGCGTATTACTAAATTATAATATTTACGTTGATATCAAATTTTACTTGTACGTCAAAGTTACGTACACACGTTGTTACATCACTTGTAACTAAACCTCTCCATTATTTTTTTTACAGACAATTAAAAAAATATTGTTGATATTATTACTTTGTAGGTTACAATCGATATTTTTTTTATTTTTTTTTTCAAAATAAAAAGATATTTCTTTATACATGATTTTTTTTTTTGAGAAAGATATTGATGAAAATGTTAAGTTTACCAATTTTATGCAAAAGTATTATTTAGTTCACCACTGTTTCACTCAGAATTAGACATGAAACGTGTGTAATGATGACCCTGATCACCAGAAAGACTTCCTGTGTAATTCAATGTGTATATGAATTTTAGGCATCTAGAATATAAAGGCTCTCCAGGTAACATCTATACTAATAAAACCACTCCCTCTCCTCAGGTAACTGTACGGTAAAAAATTGAATTTTTAAGACTAAATAACCTACAAAATGTCTCAATAACAACTTTTTTTCTATAATGATGTTTGTTTTGACACCAAACACTGTTTTGCATTTAAATGCCTCAAATACTATCATAGAAAGAGAAAAAAAAATCAGCTTACCCTTGCAAAAGGAATCAGAAGTGCATGGGATTCTCCACTGAAAAAAAAATACATAATACTGCTAAAACCATAAATTAACAATTGATTAGATTAAACAGTTTAAAGAACCATATAACATGTACTTAGATTAACATTTCACAAAAACTTTTTTCCCTTGGAATAAAGACATCGAAATTCGTATTTATAAAGTATGAAAATATATACCTCATTTGGAAGCTCATTGCAGCGTTCTTTTTCAAAATGCCAGCACGTTTCATCAGGTGTATCCGTCAGTTCTTCTTCCTCGGGCATTGGCGTTACATCTGTATCATCAATTATCTTTGTCGAATTTACTACTTCAGGCATTATTATTAAATCCTTGTCAATAACATCATTTCCCTCTTCAGTTTTCTTGATTCTTGATGTTTGGTCAGAATTTAAGCTGTTTTCATCAGATTCTTCAGATCCTTTGGATTCGCTAGAGTCTAACTTTAAAAAAAATTAACAGAGAGTGAGGAGTCGGCGGAGAGAGAGAGAGAGAGAGAGAGAGAGAGAGAGAGAGAGAGAGAGAAAGAGAGAGAGAGATATTTTGATTATACATGTACCTCTTTTACTCTGGATCGTCTATTAAGGTTATTGTCTGTCACTTTGCTTAAACACCGTCTAAAAGAGAGAAAGATGTCAGTAGGTAGGCGTTATACGGAAGCCCATTCAGAGCCTATCAAAAATATTTCTGAATTCGATATCACAAATTTTTTAATATCTAAGATGAATTTACTACCAGTTTTTAAATTCTTTTATCGAATTTGATTTTGTTATAACAATTTGTTGAATTCGATTTATCATACAATACTCGTAATTACGAATTCGAAATGCGATATATGGAATTAAATTAAATCAAAGTCCACAAGTCGTTTAATGCAATATATCATATTTGTTATTACAAATTGGATAGAATTATGATAAATAAAAAAAAGAATATAAGGAACCGTGATCGGTCTTAAACAAATCCACAAACAAAACAATTCTGTGAGCAGGGCATAAAACAGGAACCCGGGAATTTGATAGGTAAGATCACGTGCCTAGGAGGAGTAGGCAACCGCTGTTAACCGGTCACACCGGCCGTTACCCATAATTATTGATGACGCAGCGATGCTAAGGCTTCCTGAATCATTAAATTGCATTCTAAACATACCATTACACTTGTTGTGATATCACATGACTCGTTTGATCACGTGGCTATCAAGTATATTTTTTAAAATGTTGCACACGAATCGCTTCGGTGCAAGTGCATAACACAATTTTTTTTTACATTTTGATACATAAATAAAATTATTATATCCTGTAATTGAAAACTGCTTGGGACCAGCTATTGTATTATTAGTGTACGAGATATTTCTTGAAAATTTGAACTTACCAACACATTTGAGGGTATATTTCTCTCTTCATCGTAGTTTATGCCAAAGCGAAGCAAGGACACTTCCATACGAAGCAAGATTCATTTAGAAAACACTCTCTTCTTATAAATGTTTACCAATATTTCTTAAGTTGATTTCATTAATTAATCACATGTGCCAGCCTGTTATATACACACATATATTCAAATTCTTATCAGGTGCTGTAGACGGAAACACTCCAAAGTCAAGTTTTTTGCAATATCGTATTGAATACACATATAATTTCAATCTAGAGAAATTATACGAAGTAATGTTTTAATATTTAACAGTAATTACACACCCTCTGGCTTCAAACCACAGTGAAGCCACATGAATATTACAAGAAAGCTCTAAAACTTTATATGTGGTTGGAAATAAGACGTGGACTTTATGACAATCTCCCCGTCACGATTGCTCAATCATGCAGTGACTTGACGTCATATTCAATTATGACGTCATGTCTTGTAGTTCAGAGAAGTGACGACATTGGATTTACTGTGATATTTTTTTGGGAAACCTTAACCTACCAGCGCCTATTATGTTATATAATCTTTCGTCTTTGACGGAATATTCCGTACGCAGCAGTGTTTAGGCTACACAAAGGGGGCGGGGTCTAATTTATACGGGAAATGTTTACTGTGACATCACACAAAAATAGCGATTCCTCACAATAACAGAAAAAGAAATAATTTCCAATTTTAAACCGCATTAAAGTAATAAACAGCATCAGAACTTACCACTGCATTCATTTTTGTCGCTAGTTAAATCCCACAAGGCAAGATATAAATCAGTTACTGATCACAATGCAAGTGTCAACATGACGTCATCATGGTAAAATTGGACGCATTTTATGTGCAGTGAGAGGCGGATCAAATATTTTTATTAAGTGAAAAATGCATTTTATTATTTAACAGGATGTTATTTACAGATTTAAGGTAGACCATTAATACGTTGTTAGATGGTCCTTATCGTCATAGTCAGTAAAGTGTATGAAAAATAATAAACATTTGGCAAAATTTATGAAACGAAGGTTATAAATCGCTTTAATCAATATGTATTTCAGCAATTTGAAAAGAAAATGAAGTATTAAGTATTAAGTTACGTGAAATTTAACTTGATAGAAAAATTTAGAATCCGTTAAAAAAACCTCAATGTATTGATTTCGTTATTACAAATTCAAAATTCTGTTTTACGAAGTAAAATTAAACAAATTCGAAGAATTGTTACAATGAAATCGATTATTTTTTTTATTTCTTCATGAGTTTCTCTTAAACGTTTTTTGAATGATTTCAAAAATGAGAGAGAGAGAGATACCTTGTTTTAGTATTAATTTTCTCCGTTTCCGGTATAGATCTGATTCCATGGGACCCTGCCTGAAAGGAAAAACACCAGTTAACATTCGTTTGTCATATACTTGAACCAAGCAAAAATTAAAACCATGAATGAAATGACATTAATACTTACCAAAATAACACAAAGATGTATCAAAACCAAATATAATTTGAAATTTGTCATATTTCTTGTCCAAGAAAAGCTCTAGGTCTCTGGGAAATATGCATTTTTACATGCATCGCTTGTTTTTATACCTCCTCAATTACATGCTCTGTAAATATGACAAATTACAGAACAAATTACCTGAAAATCTCTTTGCATACTTGAAATGAATTTAATTATTTTGCACTTTCAGTTGAAAATTGCTCACAAATCCACTGCGTGAAGCATGATGAATGAAGGTAGAATTAAATTAAGTCTATATCCAAAAGTTCTGTCACAAGAGCTGCTGTAATAGTTCTTCTGAAGTGTAAGTCAACTGGATTCTATTTCTAAATATATCACAATTTGAATATTTTTGAAAATATCAACATCATTAGATAGCTTACATGTACATGTATTTATTTATTTTTGTATGCATAAAAGACCCCGCGATTATATTTCAACCTCTTTATCAAAATGATGACTTCTTTCAAGTCATATTGCATGAAAATCATCTTCGATTTATCTTTATCTCTAAAAAAAAAAGGGGGCTTCCATTAAGGATTCCAGAAACCTACCACTAGCACTCCTTATATCACATTTCATTTTTTGGTTTTAATATTTTTCTACTGGCCTGAAGTCATTTCACGACTCTGTTCTTATTAATATACATGATTATGTTATTTAAGATTAAAAAAATCCCCTGAAAAAGAAAGAGGAAAGACCTTACACCATTTTTTAGATCTGGATCTGCAGTCGTAAATAAACAATATCCCCTTAATGTCTTATTGTAAAACATATAAATATGAAAGAGATGTGTCAGAATCTGTGGTGTCTTTCATTTCGAGTTCAATGGAATTTATTGAATCACCTAAGGAAATGAGTAAACGCCGTCGGATTGAAGACCACAGCTTGCAACTTCTTTGAATTAGAAATTTTTGAATAGATTCTGAGTCATACAAATATGCAAAACCAGATATGCTTAAAAAGAGGAACAATTAGTATTCAAGGGAATAAACCTAGTCTCCAAAGATTACATAGATATTGTCAATAAGAAACTCAAGCATATTTCTAATATCAACCTTGGACTACTTGTGTGAAGAATTAGAATATCTTAAAACAAAGTTAGTTAGCAATTGCAAGGTACGAGGGTTGTCCAAAAAGTTCGTGGACAAATGCTTAATTTTCTTTAAAAAAGTCCGCAATGGCAAACGTGATAACGTCAAAGATATGGATTTTGAATTCTTATCACATGTTCATGGATACACGCTTATTTTCTTTATTATGCCACACTGCCAAGTGAGTGCAATAATATTTATGTATAGACCATAATTGATTTAATTTTTAAAATGCAAAACAATACACGATAATTTATGAGCTTTATCAATATAAACACTTCGTATACACAAGCTGCACAGCCCAGTCCGACGGCGCTAGATTTATAACAAAGTCCTGAATAGGGATGTCCTATTTTCATCAAATATCAGTAGTTTTCCTCTTCTTGTACATGTAGTGTCTCCGAAAATTTACACACCGTTGAAAAATCGCATACACCGATTACAATTTAATGAACTAAATATATTCCAATAATTTTAAGTTGTTTGAATAAATATTTTGTGTCTGACGTCGTTTCAACCATATTAAAACATAATTACATGTATATGATTGGAAGCTGTTCCGTTCGCATGGCCGACGTTGCTTTTTCTGTCAATTGTTGAAACGTACTTCTTGCGGTTTTGGCTTAATATTCTCACTGTCTATTTAGTAAGCGATACTAAAGATGTTAGAAAATAACGATAGCCGCTTTATTTGCGACACATTTAAGTTTTATTAAGCTTTGACTTGTTTTATAAAGAAAATAATTATTTTAATCAGAACACTTTATTTTAAAGCTAATGTCATTTTAACCCTGGTCCGTGCGCATATCGACGACCTTTAATGACTGCGCTTTTTACAAAAATATTAAGTTCAAACAAAAAAACCCAAACTATTCTGACTTTTATTTTCATATTGTGGTATACAATAAGTATATCTTGAACCATTCATTTTGAAAAAAAATCGCCATTGTCCACGAAATTTTTGGACATCCCTCGTATGCATATTAATCTGTTCCAGTTTTAGTAAAACAGTTTGCATTGATGTCAACAAGACTGGTCATTAATTTTCGATGAGAATAGTTGTATAAATTATGTGTTGGAAAGTTATACATTTTAATATATTGAGTTTGTTAAACGTTTGTGAATTCAAAGATTCTCAAAGTCCCTTGTAATTGTTTAAGCATCCACCACTTCTTTACACTGTTGGTGTACAGTACTCCTGAAGTATCTCCTTCATTGCTGTTATTATGTTCCCCAAACGAAGTTTGGGAACATATTGTTTTTACTCTGTTTCTTATTATTATTATTATTATTATTTTTCTTCCTGGGTACTTTTTTGTCCGTGAGTGATCTCCGAAACTACACATCCGATTGAGGTGAAACCTTTTTAGGGTTAATAGGAATGCTATGTAGATTTGCGGAACGAAGGTCATTTTGCGTGCACGCGCATGCACGTGCGTGCGCGTGCAAAGCGTAAAATGACCAATATACTTGATATAGCTGTAACTTTTATATTTTTTCATGAAATGCTTTGATACTCAGAATATAAGGATATATTAATAGTGTAGACAAGATGACAAGGTCAGAATGCGCATGCATGCACGTGCGCGCATGCGCATTGATTGAAATAACCAATACAATTGATATAGACTTAACTTTTTTTGATGAATTGCATTGAAACTCAGAATATAAATATATATTAGAGGTGTACACAAGAAGACTTGATCAGCGCACACATGCATGCACGTGCGTGTACGTGCGCGCGCGTGCAATGAGTAAAATGACAGATATACTTGATATAGTTATAACTTTCATATCTTTTGATGAAATGCTTTGATACTCAGGATATCAGGATATATTAAAAGTGTAGACAAGATGACATGGTCAGAATGCACATACATGCACGTGTGCGCATGCGCAATGATTGAAATAACCAAAACAAATTATATAGACTTAACTTGTATATTTTTTGATGAATTGTTTTGAAACTCAGAATATAAATATATATTAGAAGTGTACACAAGATGACATGATCAGCGCACACATGCATGCACTTGCAAGCACGTGCGTGCGCGTGCAATGAGTAGAATGACCAATATACTTGATATAGCCAAAACTTTCAAATCTTTTGATGAAATACTTTAATACTCAGAATATAAGGATATATTAATAGTGTAGACAAGATGACATGGTCAGCGCACACATGCATGCACGTGCGTACGCGTGCAATGAGTAAAATTACCAATATACTTGATATAACAATAACTTTTACATTTTTTGATGTAATGCTTTGATACTCAGAATATATAGACATATTATAAATGTAGACAAGACGACATTGTCAACATGCACATGCATGCACATGCGCGCGCATGCAATGCTAAAATGTTCAATATACTTGATATAGCTGTAACTTTTATACTTTTTGTTGAAATGCTTTGATACTCAAAATATTTAGATATATTAATAGTGTTGACAAGACGACACGGTCATCATGGACATGCATGCACGTGCGCGCGCTTGCAATGCGTAAAATGACAGATATACTTAATATAGCCGAATTTTTTTTATCTTTTGATGAAATTTGAATATAAAGATGTATTAAAAGTGTAGACAAGTTGACATGGTCATTTTGTACATGCATGCCCTTGCGCGCGCGTGTAATGCGTAAAAAAACCAATATACTTGATTGCCTTATTTAATGAAGCTTACAAGGAATAAAACACCAAAAGGAAGTTGGGGAGCGTTTGGGGAACATCTGTAACGGTCCCCGTTACAATTAATACTAGTTATTATAAGGAGTACAGAAAAAGGCTTGGTGGCACGTTTATTAGAAACCGCTAAGCATTGCTTTGTAAGGGTTTTTATAAATTTTTTTTTCCATACCAAAATTTGAAATCAATTAAATTGTTGGTTTTTGGAAATATTAAATCTATTTAAAAACTCTACATGGTTTAGACGAATTTTACCCTTAGAAAGAGATCTAAATTGATTACCACTTGCAGAATTGAATACAAGTTCCTCTAAATTGCAATTGTAATAACGCGCCTTTCAAACAAAGACTATGATCTTATTTGCTTTGTCAGCTGGGACCAGAATATATTGATCATGCAATCTGTCTAATGTTTTTGTCACTTCTAAATTCCGAACATAGAAGACGAAAATTTTTCGAAATCTTGCCCTGACTAGGAAAAGACGTATATGACTCAAACTTCTAATTTAAACTAAGTTTCAATAAAATACGATAAATCCTTTTCGAAGGAAATATAAGTGCCTTCATTAGAAGGGCTATGCAAACTGTTTATGAATAATTACATTTTACCGATCCAAATTGATAAGCCAAGAGAAATGTGCTTAAATCTTCCTGCAATTTGTCTACAGAGCCTTGACAGTTAGGTTCTTCGATTTGCGACGGAAAAGGGTAGGTAAATTAGCGAAACCAGCTTGTTTATTCATTCCTGATATTATTATGACAAGGTGAAGATAACGAACAGTGATCAATTTAATAAAAAGTATCACATCTGCTAAGACTTTATCTAGCACATATCAAAATATAAATCATCGGCAAAACTTTGAGAAATATATTGGAATAATTACACGTTAGATTCAGGGTAACGAAAGGTCCTTTCCTTTTAATATGTTTCCAATATTTCTCAACATGTCTACTTTACATTTACATAACTGTTGGGGAGAAAATAGTCATTGCGTTAGTTCTTGGAAATTCCATACACAATCTGTCTCTCTCAGTTGAAGGTATGCAATTTTTCATTGTCCTTTTGCTGTAATAATATAT